AGGTAGACAGAGAGATAAAATAGCCTTTTTCTGATCTTGAAAAGCATTTCTTTCTTTTTTTCAGTTCTGGGGATTAAGCTCAGAAGTGTTCTACCTATGAGCTATATCCTAGTCGTTTTGAAATTTTATTTTGAGGCAGTGTCTTGCTATATTTCCCAGGCTGGCTTTGAACTTGCCATCTTCCTTCCTCTGCCTCCCAAGCGGCTGGGATTACAGGCATGCACTGCTGTATCCAGTTCTCCCTTTTAAACAATGAAGTGCACTGTTAAGTATAGGTTTTTCAGAAACGCTCTTCATCAGATTGGGAAAATTTGACTGTTGCTAGCTCTGGAGCATTTTGTAGGTGTGCTTGAGCTGCTTACAAAACCCAGTTCCTAATGTGCTGGGATTTGATCAGGAATGGGCTCTTGTTTGGTGTTTTTTCTACATCTACTCAGATGATCCCATGGTTTTTCTGTGTAATTTGTTGATGTGGTGAATTACATCAACTATTGAACCTTGAGTGAACTTTGCATTCCCCAGTTAAACTCTGCTTAGTCCTCAGGCATTATCCCTTTTTATACATCGTTTGCTTTGGTTTTCAAATCCTTTGTTTTGTTTCTGTGCATCTGAGAGATGCCTGCTTAACTTTTTTTGTAATCCTGGTCTTGTGCATGAGGGTTTTGTATAATGTCTATAATAGTTACAGTGATGTCTCCTCTTTCATTCCTGATATTGGTAATTTGTATCATTTTACTTCACTGATCTTTTCAAATGATCAATTTTTCCTTTACTGATTTTTACTATTGTTTTTTCTGATTTCTATTTTTCGTGTATATATTTCCGCTCTTTATTATTTTATTTCCTCTGATAGCTTTGGGTTAAATTTTCTCTTTTTCTAGTTTTTTGCTTTGTTGTGTTTTTGTTTTCATTTTGAGATGGGGTCTTGCTATGTTTCCCAGGGTTGTCTTGAAATTCATGGGCTCAAGAGTTTCTCTTGTCTCAGTCTCCCTAGAAGCTGGGACTGTAAGCATGTAACACCACAGAAAGATTTTCTACTTTTTAAAAAACTTTCCTTTAGTGTTTTTAAAAAATTTGTTCTAACTAATTATTCATGGCAGTAGAATGCTTTTTGACACACTGTACACAAATAGAACTTAACTTCTCATTCCTCTGGCTATACATGGTGCTGACTCATACCAGTAGGGTAACTACTTTTCTAATTTTTAAGTGCAAACTTAGTTTACTTTCTTCTTATCCAACATAAGCATTTGATACTATTAATTTGTCTCTGAATACGGCTTCTACTGTGTCTCATGAATTACAAGTTGCAGTTCAATTTAATTTCCATTGTGATATCTCCCTTCACCCATTAGTTATTTAGAAGTTTGTCATTTAACTTCTGAGTATTGGAGGATTTCCCAGATAGTTCTGTAATTAGTTTCTTGTTTCATTTCATTGTGGTCAGAGACCATAAAATACATGAATATAAAGCGTATGATTTAAATTCTTAGAACTTTATTAAACACTTGCTTTATGAGATGGAGATGGTCTATCTTGCATGTACATTTGTTAAAACCCTGTTTTTGCTGTTGTTGGGTGGATCATTCAGGTCATTTGGTTGCTCGTGTTCAAGTTTCCCATAGTATCACTTGTTTTTTTTTTTTGGGGGGGGGGTCTACTTGGTCCACCAGTCACAGGGGAGAGAACTGATTTCTCCAGCTCTAATGGTGAATTTGTTTATTTCGCCTTTCAGTTCTGTACTTAGTATTACTGCGTATTTGGAGGCTCTATTATTAGGAAACTATACATTTAAGATTTGGAATAGTGATATCTCTGGTGTGCTTCACAAAAGCAAACTCCAAACCTCTCTGGAAAGATACTCTAGACCCAAGTACACAGTTTTCCATAAGTCTCACAGAATTAACTCATAATCCAACTCTGCAACATCAAGGACACAATTTTGCCTTGGTTGAGAATTAGGAGATTTGAAAAATATTAGAGCACACTCCCTAAAAATGTCAGGTAACTACACAGAACTATTGGACCAGTAGACAATAGGACTAAACAGACCAACAGACCAGGCAATCAGACTAAATAAATAAATAAATAGAATACATACCCCCCCACACACCCCAACACTCTAAAAAAACAGGGAAAAGCTTATTAAAACCACAATGTGATTAACTAAACACCCACCTAAATGGCCAAAAGGTAAAATACTTAGTGCTGATGGGTGTGAGGAACCACAAGAATGCACACACACTGCTAGAACAGTAACTTTGAAAAACTGCTCTGGTACCAACTAAAGCTTAACCCATCTATACTTTAAAACCTAGAATTCATTATTAGAAATGTCCAACTTCAATGTGTGCATATTTTCCAGGAGATCAGTACTAGATCACTTATAGATCCCAAACTGAAAGCTAGTGAAGTGCCAGCCTATCATTCAGAAAAATGAATAAACAGGGGTAATACTAAACACAATGGAATATTAAGCAATAGTGAGAATTACTAGCTTATGACTATAGGCAGCTGTTATAAACCAAATGCCTGTCTCCCTCTAAAGTTCCTATGTTGAAGTCCCAGCGCCCAGTGTTATGGGTAGGAGGCAGGGTCTTTGGGAAGCAATTAAGTTTAGGTGAGTTCATGAGGCTAGAGCCCTCATAATGGGATCAGTGCCCTGTAAGAGGAAGAGACAGAAGAACTTCCTCTCTCTGCCACATTAAGACACAGTGAGAAGGTAATTATCCCCAAGCCAGGAAGAAACCCTTCACCAAGAACCTGCCCTTGTCAGCACTCTGAAATTGTATTTCCCATTCTCCAGCATTTTGAGAAATAAATGTCCGCTGATTAAGCCATCCACTGTGGTACTTTGTTATAAGCTCTCTGAGCTAAGACAGCAACATAAAATGGAAGAACCTTATAAATGTAACTTTGAACTGGGAGCAGTGGCGCAAGCTTGAAATCCCAGTTATGCAGGGGGCTAAAGCAAGTTCAAGGCCAGCCTGGGCAACTACTTAGTGAGATCCTGCCTCAATAAAAAATGAAAAGGCTGGGGATGTAGCTTAGTGGTAGAGGGAACCTGGTTCAATGCCCATAAAGCAAACAGACAAAAAACAAAACAACAACAACAACAACAACAAGCATAACATTGGGAAAAGAAGCCAGGCATGAATACTATTTATATAAAGCACAAGATTGGCCACATTAATGATCTATAATGCTAGAGGGGGTTACCCCTGTGGGGGGTAGGAGTGGGTAACTGGTGATTGGAAAAGAGCTTCTAGAGGGCTTGGGGAGAGGGATTAGTAATGATCTGTTTCTTGATTTAGTTGCTGGTTACATGTTTGATTTGTGAAAAAAAAATGCTATATATTTATGATATGTGTGATTTTTTGGTATAACTAACAAAAAGATTTAAAAAAGGTTTACCAAACCCCTACTGAAAGAATAAGACAACACACAAAAATGATTTTGAAAAACAGTTAAGGTTCTAGGAATAAAAATAAAACACAATAGCCACTGAAATAGTGTTGTTAAACAGTAAATAAAAATAGCAGAAGAAGGAATTCTTTATTTGGAAAGAAGATTTGAGGAAATTTCCTAGGATGAGGAATAGTGGGATAAAGAGATGGAAAATATGAAAGAGTAATTAGACACAGACTAAAATGTGAAGATGTAAATAGGACTACTAGCTGGAAGAGACGTGATATGCAAAGAAATGAAATTTTCCAGAATTGATGAACAAGATGAAGACTCAGTTTCATGAGGAATGAGTTCCTGAGCAGAATAAATACAAATGACCTACACTCAGAACCCTAATATTTGACTGCTGGAAAAATTCTTAGAGAAAAGTTTGTCTCCTTTGTTTTAAAGATGGACAAATTGAGGCCTAAAATGATTAAGGGCTTTGCATAGAAACGAAGGGCAGATTAAGGCAGAGAGAAAACTAATCTGATATACTGAATCTTAAAAGTAATGGATAAAAGAGCAAAATACTTTTCTGACTTAAACCTTTCTACTGGCATCACTATTGAAAACAGCAATCTGAAAATATTCTCTTCAAAGAATTTAATTCACAAGTTGACAAATGAAGGTGTGACTGACTTGAGTGCCATGTAACAAGTGTTTGACAATGACATAAAATGAACCAGCGGGGCAAACTAGCGCTGCTCACACACACCTTAAAGAAAGAAAATTTCAATACAATCCTATTTAAATTTTAAGTACAAGGCTATTATGAAAACTTCAGAGCCTAAACTTCATACTTATTATCCTCTATTTAATAAATGTCCTAACATTATAGAGTGCTTTTGAATCACATCTTCTATTTTATACCTCAAAAGGTCAACTGTTTGCTTTCTTTGAAAACAGAACAATCCACCACCTAAATGAACCTCTATATGTCCATTGTAAGTCCAATACAAATTTCAAACTGGTCAGAGTCATAAGATGTACTGAAGACCTGACATAAAGCACTCTTAGCAGAATCATTTTTGATGATGAGCCAGTGGCTTGTCTTGATTCAAGTATTTGAGAGGAAAAGATCTGCTCAGTATAAGACACTGTGAGTTTAGCTCTTACTCACATTTCTCAATCTTGAATTTATCGACAGCAGATTTCTATTATTTTAATGCTCAAGGATTTAAAGATTTTTATTTTTTAGTTGTAGATGGACACAATACCTTAATTTTATTTATTTATTTTTATGTGGTGCTGAGGATCGAACCCAGTGACTCTCCTGTGCAAGACAAGTGCTCTACCACTGAGCTAAAACCCCAGTCTTAGGGCTTAGGGACTTTAAGACCACAAATAAAATAATTCTAAAGCCACTTTGTTGGTCTTAGGTTAGGACAATATTTTTCAGTAATATAAAAGGCTTAAAGTGTCCAAAATGTAGAGATTTGGTATATTCCAGGTTAAGACATTTTTAAGAATTTCTAATTTATCTTTTGCTTTTAAGAAAAATAACTGTATTATGGTATGAAGCCTTAGGCCTGAAATATATGAGACATAAATACTTCTTTAATATTTTTTATTAAAATGGTGGCGGGGAGAGAGCTGGTACTTAAATTCCACACTGGATGATTCTTGAATTTTTCAGAGCATCTCTATTAGTTTTAGCTACTTGTGAGAGTTACAAGAATATTTTAAAGTTTCAGTAAAATTTAACCCTTAATACTTAACAAACCTGATGATGATAAAAGAGAATGAATTCATAAAATAAGTTAGCAAATCTAGACAGCAAAATGAAAAAAAAAAAGCCTTAAGGTTTACAAAAGTCATGATAAACATTTTTATCAAACATTTACTGCATAAATTACTCATACAGATCAAGAAACCATTAAGACATTTATTTTTCTAGATGTACAAAGTATGCAGGTAATCACACAAAAGCAATTTAGAGAAACTTTGATTTTTCTCTTATTAAATAACAACAGCACATAAAAATCCCAACACAAATGGGACACTGTGAGGTGTAACAATTCTGGGAATGCAATAAGGCAACATAAAACATAAAAGTCAAAATAATTTCACTGAATAATCCCACTCTGAGAATTTATCCTCATAAAACAAAACAATTCAAGTATTTTGTCATAGGAAATGATTCAAACAAATTATGAGTAGGTAGGAATATGATTACAATAATTACTATCAAAACTAAATATGGATAATATCAAATAAAAATTGTCAATAAAAAAACTATAGGTGCCTGCCGGACATGGTGGTCACAGTGATGTCAACTACTCAAGAGGCTGAGGCAGGAGGATCATAAGTTCAAGGACAGCCTAGTCAACTTAGCGAGACTCTGTCTCAAAATAAAAACTAAAAAAGGCTGGGGGTATAGCTCAGTGGAGGAGGGCCCCTGTGTTTAATCCCCAGTACCAGTTTTTTTGTTTTTTTTTTTAAGTAGTATAGGTGACTTAAGACTAATTATCTGAACAAAAAGGAAAAAATAGTATTATAAAAATCAAACTTTGAAAGTTAGTACATTAGGATGGTAAGGACTAGAGGTCTTTTTCTATTCGGGAAAATTTTCTTCAATGTTTTCAATATAAAAGAAAAGGACTGGCTATCATTTTTAGAAGTTATTTCCTTCTCAAATAATCTTGACATTTTCCTAATCAGTAAATTGTACATGTCAATTTTTAAGATGGAAAAAACCTCATCCATATTCTAAAACTGAAACATTCCCCAATTTGGACTTTGGCAACGAATGAAAACATATTGTAACCTATGCCACTCTTAACAGGCAGAGGTAGCCACTGTCACCTTTAGTTGACACAAATTGTAGAGTACTACAAATGAATAAGTAAAATAATAAATTTTCAATTTATAAAATTTATGTGTTTGTCATTTTATGTTAATGCAGCAAAGTATCAGTATGCTCAGTTTTGGGTCTCATACTAAGAATTAGTTTTAATATTTTCATTTCAACTGTTGCCAATATGCTGAAGATGCTTTACTGAAGCAACTAACTGTATATTAACCACAAATAGATAAACCACAAATAAAATCACTTTAAATTTAAATGTTAAAATGCTGAGTTGCAAGCAGGCAACCACCTTTAAGTAAAAAGGTAATCAATAAAAATCCCAAAACTCAAATTTTATGAAATTTAAAATTTTCCTTTCGAAATTATATTTGAGTAAATGAAGAGGAAATTAAACATTTCTGCATATCAGTTGCATAATACATTACATTCTCAACAAAATTATGAAGGATGCATTACATAAAATTTACTATTTTGTAATTTTCAAAATTATGGGAAAGAGGGATTTGTAACTTTCCAGCTATTTGAACAAAAACATTTTAGAATCACTATTTTTAAGTATTTGGAGCAGAAGGGATCAGCTGGAATGCACAGGACAGCTATCTCCAAGTCTATAAACTTCACTATAAAGAGCAAATCACTGAAAAAAAACAGAGAGAGAGAGAGAGAGAGAGAGAGAGAGAGAGAAATAAAAGTTAAGATCAGAGAAAACCTTAACTTAAGATACAGTCTGTAGTTTAAATTTTTAAAATTATGTTACTTAGTAATTTGGCACAAAGTAGTTGATTGGGTTGATGAAATCACACACACACAAAAAAAGAGCACACAGCTGCACAAAGCTATTGGAGGAGGAGCTGTCTTGGACTCTAACGGAAGAGAAATTAATTCAATATTAGTTTTTATTTACATATTGTAAGTGGTAGCAGCAATCATTGGTTCATTTACAAATATTTATTATAAAACTTTATTCATTTCTAAGATCTAAACACACACAGCAAATACTAGGTGAGTACAGTCTTTTTAAGGAAATGTTTTTTAATAACAACTCTCCAAAGGCAAGAAGGAGTTCAGTAATGGCCATTGAAATGGCCAGAGTTAGAGAATTCTTAAACAATGAAGCCACATGGAAATCCAAATAAAATCAAAATCACATTTAATGATGCTACTCAGACACGTAGCTCATAAATCTTTGCTTAGAAAATCAGTTCAGCTTTTTCATAGAAAAAGGCTGAAGAAATCAAACTCAGCATCAATATCCTGATTCCAATCAAATTCATATTTTAATATAAAAATATTTTAAAAGAACAATTGATAGTATAGAAAAGAATTGAACAAGTGCAACTCCATTCATAATGTATAGTAAATAAGTTGTAGGCTATAGAAACTAAATGATGGTCATTTTTATTCATGCAAAAAAAAAAAAAAAAGAAGAAGAAGAAGTTAGAAGAATCAGTTGTCCCTTGCACGTAGCTTGTCATTCTGCATCTACACACAGGATTCAAATGTCAACCAGGAAATGATGATATTCTCAGGTCAACTTCAGAATGTCTTATTAACATCATCTTCCCCCTTTGTCTCATTTAGAGTCATATATTCACAGCTCAAAATCTGCTCATTAGACTCTTCGGGTTTTGATTTTTTAAGTGTCAGCTCTGCTGGCAGAAGAGACGAGCAATGCTCAAGAGACTGTGCAACGTCATCAATTGTCCATTTGTCCTCAGGGAGGGCATGTTCTTCTAGTGTAAATGGCCCCTGTTT